GGACGCGACACCTGTGCCTCGGGTTTGTGGAGCAGCAAGCCTGTCTGATACAGAGCCCTCGGAGCGCCGCTTCACTTAGCGAGCAGTTGTATCCCAGTGGAAGGGTGACATTGGCTGTAGCCGAGCTACCGTCTCGCACTGCGATATTGATTAGAAATGCTTTTGGCAATGACTGGATAAGGAAGGAGCTAAGAGCAACCCTTCCCAGACACTAAATGGCATGTAAAAATGCCTGTAGCTCTTTGGTTTCCCTGTCAGGCGGGGCGTATTTTCAACCTGTGGGGAGGAGGCAGAGGGGAGGTAGCTTATCGCTGAGGGGGAGCAGAGAAAGATCTGGACTTCAGGGGGTCTCTGCATTCCTGTTTGGGGGGGAAAAAAAACATGACATTAAAGCAGTCAGGCTGAAATAGTGATTCTGCCTTTGCCGTGCCTGACAGGCTAATCTTTTATCAGGGCTTTCTGCGTATGTTACTACACTCTTCTTATCTGCTGCAAACTAAATAATGAAGCACAAGTGAAATTTCTTCAAGGAGTAGAATTTTTTGTCTCGAGTAGAGTGCCTTTATATTGCGTTGGTTCATCAGTATGTCTCCCGACGAAGAAGCACACTGCGGATTAATGTTGTTTTTAAAACGATTCAGAAGCAATCCAACCAATCAGTCACTTATTTCTTTATGCTTGGTATAAATTCCATTTGTTAGCTAGTCAGTGATTCCAAGTGGTTTCTATAGTGTGTGATTCACTTGCTACTCACTGGCCTGGAGCACTGTGTTAAAATCATATTAACCAGTGTTAGAGCTGCAGTGTGATGGTATTTTTATACCAATTTATTTTCCTTTTGTCCCTTGTTCTTTCATCTTGAAGTTTTTCATTCACATTACTGTTTTGTTTGCATGACTGTTTTTAATTGAGGGGAGACCCCTGTTCCCCTCTTTAATGTGTAGAAAATCAAAGTTCTTAGCCTTTTCCTCTCTCAGTGAGTTATAAAGCCACCTTACTTCTCCATCCCCTAATGGTTAATATTACTTATTGCTTTAATTTGACGAGGAACAAATGAGACTTTGTCAAGTGACAAGGGTTTAATTAGACGGATATCCTCGACAATTGTTTTTGTAGACCATGCCTGGTCAGCCAGGGGTCAAGGGTTAAATAGGTTTATGGTTTTGTGCTGTTGTCATTTCTGTCCCTTCACACAAGCGGCCCACATACTGTTCCCAGCCTATTGCACTACTGCAATTCATGTATATATTGTGGGGATCGTCATACAATTTATGATGAAAGTCATCTCCATGAACAAGGATACAGACAGTTAAGACAGATGGTTATCCTGGGGCGGGAATACAGCAAGAGGCTGACACTGTGAGCCAGTGCAACATTTTACTGCTGGTATTTCTTTTTCAGATTTACTGTAGAGTGTGCTGCACTGCTCACGAAGGGAAAATGTGTGAACTATAGCTCAGGAAGGGCGTTGTTCAGGCATCTTTGTTGCATTCTAATTTTAACCGTACTGGGGATAGTGACAATGTCATCTGGCATTTTTGAATCCAATATTGAGGAAGGTTTCCTCCTGCCAGATTATGTGCAGCATTACTGGCACAAGTGCTTTGTTGCGAAATGATGGTCTGGTGAGATGCTGTTTAAACATATGGAAACGGGCCTCTTGTGTGGGGGCTTTTTGTGCACCTTGTTAAAATATTTTATAAGCACCATCATTGAACCAAAATGTCAACTCTTTTTTACATCTGCAAATTTGTATTATTACAAAGCCATGCCCTTGTCAAGTTTTAAAAAATGCCATTAGACTGTAATATATTTAGAATAATGTAAGTGATCGTTTTTAGAGAGATTGTTTAGACATCATGTTGCCAGATTTAGTCACATATGTCCTTTTATTTGTGAATCAGCTGCACAAAAGCATGTTTTCCAAGTAGCATATAGTTATCTGAAAACATCAACCAATTCAGGAAGGCATGAATAACTGACGCATTACAAGGGTTTGTCTGAATTCAGTGTTGAATTTCACATTATCGTGAAAAGTGGAATTTCAAACTTAAGAATTAAATGCGCTCCTGCCTTTGAGGGTAATTGATACATACAGATTGAAAGCATGATAATAAGTTGTAAATTACCATACAGAACATTAAAAAATAAACAGCCATACAAATCTAAGGCAGGCAGCTATGTGCACATCAGCAGCTAATTAAAATGTATCAAATACGAGAGCCTGACTAATATCTGCAGAATAGCTGATTAGAATTCCTAGCGTTTTGTTACACTCAGAGCACCTAAGGAGTAATTTAGTAGTCTCGATGGATCAGAGAGCCTTCCTTTTTAATATTATACTCAGCATGAATTAAGGAATCATTGCAGTGTAAAAAATATAATTGCATGTTGTCAGCATTTTGGGAAGATTTTATGGAAAACATTTGCAATTACCTTACATTTTCTGTTGTCTGTTGTGTGGGATAATCGCTCCACACTGTTTTGGATAACTCTACAACTTCAGGTTGCTAAAGTAATTAATTTTAAAGTTATTATATTGTAATAACATTGTGAGTATTTTTACGGGGTACTTAAAAACTATTGTAGTCTATAAGAGTACAATTTTGCTTTAATCTTAACAATCATGAGCTGTGATCTATGTATTTTGATAAATTGCAGACTCTATTACCTAATATACAGTATGATTATATACTGTAGTAGCTTACAACTAGTGTCCAAATGACAAGTTAAATGAGACAGAAACCATTCATAAATGTCTCTCGAAAAAGAGAATTCTAAAGGGAACGGATAATGCATTTCTCTGTAGTAATAAACAGGATAACAAAACAAAGCTTCTAAAATAATATAATATTGTATCCAAGTGGAATTTGACAGTGTGGCTGAATAAAAATATAATTCCAGTCATCAGATTTTCTGTGCGTCTGAAATTATTTTTTTCCATCACGTACCTCAGAATTCCTAAAATATCTGAAATTTAAAATTGACACCGATGTTATAGTGCAGAATTAGTTAATTTTCATGTATCTCTAATCATCAAATGCTGAAGGAGTCAGGTGGTAAAATGCTGGGGGTCCGTCTCGACATTGGTCCAGTGAGTATCTTGCATCTCACTTCTGCATTACAGGCCTGGGCCTGAGTGCAGCGCAAGCTGGGAGCATTCGGAGAGCCATTGCTTTCAAATACACTCGTCTCAGCTGCTCCTTCATGGCAAGTGTCTGCGCCAGTCATCGGCAGCCTGCAGCCATGTCTGTTTATTAGGCTGGGCGAGCCTCATTACACTGCCACAACACTGACAAACAACTGCCGTCCACACACACACACACAGGCCTTACTGAGCAAACCTCTTCCACATTGTGCCTTGCTGTACTCTTCTCCTGCTGTACAAAAGGTAGCCTTTCGGCTTTATGGGTGTTTAGAAAGGCACAATTGTTGTTGATGAGAAACACTTGACAATGAGCCACTTAGCTTGGATTGGCTACTAACACGTCACATTGACTTTCATGTATAGTTAACCTTCAGGTATTGCGATACTTAAAAAATCAATATCTGATCGGTGTGAATTCAGTTTTGCAAAAGGACAAATAAGACATTAAGATTTGTTATGTAACTAACTAGTATAGTAAGTTTCAGAATTCAGTAGAAAATGCTAGTGGAGATTTTGCTTAAAACTCATTGTGTCTAAGACTTTTGCAGAGCACTGTATAGTTGACGCTAATAGAACGAGTGTTTTTTAATGTTTTGCTGTTGGCACGTGGACAGTCCTTTGATAGCTTTGTCACAATGGTTGAGACAATGTAAAGATGAACTTTCAGAAAATCTTAAGATACAATGAAAAAAAAGTATTCTGGTTTCTCCATCTGTACTTTCTTAATGGAAGTTGTTAACTGTGAGGATATTATTTGGAGAATTATAAGTATAGTGATTATTTAATGAATACCCTTTTCTTTGTTTCTGGTGCTAATGTAAAGCAGCACAATGTGTGTGTTTGCCCACAACGAAACGTTGTCCTGCTGGTTTGACAGATTATTAGAACAAATTCCCAATATCTGACAAATAAGGTGGGAATAATACATTGAGGATATTTCACATGGGTTTTGCAATATTGAGATTGAGACAAAGGTTCTCTTTTTTTTGGACTAGTTTTATTAATTGAAAGTATTCCAGAAACAGCGAGGAAGGCCTGTTGAAGGGCCCAGGGTGCATGTTGTGTGATGCAAGTCGATGAGCGGCGTGCTGTCCTCTGAAGTACCCTGTCCTGTGTTCAAGCACAGTTACTGCCCTTGTGTCCAACACTGAACAGCAGGCATTCGTTCATTCATGACGCCTCCCAAGAGCCAGGATCGTGCTGATTACTTCTCTGTTCATTACTGCTTCCATTGATTTGTGACACTTTTAAAATATATCAATATCAAAGACTGTATGCTGTTTTCTTCATATCATTCATGTATTCATATTATTAAGTTTTAAATGCAATGCTTTTTGAAGGTTTGTCTTTCACGACATCCTTGTGTGCTGTAGAACCCTAACAGGATTGTTTTGGGTTTTTTCCAACATGAGCAAAAAAAAAAAGGCTCGCCACCGGCATTCACATTGACATGTCAGTGCCAGTATTAAGCAGCATCGCGGAAGCCGTGTGTTTTCTTTTCAGATTAGGCTTGCTGCTGTGCAGCTGAGTAATCACTCCAGAGACTGAGCCTCTGACACAGTGCCCACACACTGGAAACCCCAGT